TTTTTATTATTATTAATATTGTTTATATTATTATTATTAATATTGTTTTTATTATTATTATTAATATTGTTTTTATTATTATTAATATTATTAATATTGTTTGTATTATTATTAATATTGTTAATATTGTTTTTATTATTATTAATATTGTTATTATTATTATTATTATTAATATTGTTATTATTAATATTGTTAATATTGTTTTTATTATTATTATTATTGTTATTATTATTAATATTGTTAATATTGTTTTTATTATTATTAATATTGTTATTATTATTAATATTGTTAATATTGTTTTTATTATTATTATTGTTAATATTGTCTGACCTTTAATCGATCATCAAAAGGTCAACATTTTAATACGTTCAGTATTTTAGTTTCGGACCAAGTACGGTCCTGCAGTGATGATGTCATTTTGTAGTCCAACCCTGACTTTGACAAACAGCCAATAGGATTAAAGCTAACGTTAGCCTATAAACAAACTGCAGCACTGTCACATGACCTCGCCACCACTAAACTTCCAACTTAAATCTTGAAATTAAAATCTACAAATTGTAAAGTTTGAGCTGTAATAGTTCGTAAGAGCGTCGACGCTGGATAACGTTACTCAGCCTGGCTAACCTTAGCTTGCTTGCTTATAATATATAAATTATACAATATATAATATATATTGTATTATATATATATTATATATAATATTTTATATAATATTATATTTATTATATATTATATATATATATATATTATATATATAATATATAATATATATAATATATTATTATATATTATATATTATATATATTATATATAATATATTATATAATATATATAATATCAGCTAGCTATAATACAATATATAATATATATATTATATATATATAATATATATTAATATATAATATATATAATATATTATATATATTATATATTATATATATAATATATATATATATATATTATATATATTATATATATATATATATAATATATATAATATATTATATATATTATATATATATAATATATATATTATATATATAATATATTATATATATTATATATTATATATATAATATATATATATTATATATAATATATATATATTATATATAATATATATAATATTATATAAAATATTATATATAATATATTATATATATAAAACACCAGACGGGCTAAATGCTAACTCAGCTAGCTAATGTTAGCATACTGACACACTAAACAAACATGGAGAACATAATCTGCACTGTTAGCATGCTAATGTTGTGTATTCATTTGTATAAACTAAAAGACGTCACTGACGAGGGTCATCATTATAACTATCTGCCCTCTGATAGGCTCCTGGCAGCCAATCAGATGCTGAGTGTGACTTCCTGTTGTTTGTGTGAGCGAATCAGCACGCAGAGCATCACAGCAGGCTGAAATTAAAACAGTAGAAGAAGAAAATGAATCATCAGTGTTGTTGTTGTTGTTGTTGTTGTTGTAGGAATCATCTGAGAGCACAAACACCACCATAGAGGATGAAGATACCAGAGGTACACACTCACACACACACACACACACACACACACACACACACACACACACACACACACTGACAGATGCTGATCTTCATTACTTTAATCCTGTTCTCTGTACAGTTTTATTATCTATATTATCTTTATTGTCTTTATTTATTTAGATTTTAAAAGTACTTTATTCTTGTGTGATTTTTGTGTGATTTGTATATTTTATGCACCAAGACAAATTCCTCGTATGTGTAAAAAGCAAAAAGCTACCTGGCAATAAACCAAATTCTGATTCTGATTCTGATACAACATGATATTAACCTGTCTGTCTGTCTGTCTGTCTGTCTGTCTGTCTGTCTGTCTGTCTGTCTGCCTGTCTGTCTGCCAGTGAGGAAACAGGACATCATTAAAGTTACTGAGCAGCTCATCGAGGCGATCAGCAACGGAGACTTTGAGAGCTACACGTATGTAACACTCTCATTAAAGGGGAGGTATTCTGCTATATATACATATACACTATACATATACACTATATATATATATAGTGTATATGTATAGTGTATATATACACTATATATATAGTGTATATATATAGTGTATATGTATAGTGTATATATACACTATATATATAGTGTATATATATATACATATACACTATATATATAGTGTATATATACACTATATATATAGTGTGTATATATATAGTGTATATACACTATATATATAGTGTATATATACACTATAGTGTATATATACACTATATATATATACATATACACTATATATATACACACTATATATATATATATATACACTATATATATACACACTATATATATATACATATACACTATATATATACACTATATATATATACATATACACTACATATATATATATATATATATATATATACACACTATTTATATATACATATACACTATATATATATACATATACACTATATATATACACACTATATATATATACATATACACTATATATATATACATATACACTATATATATACACTATATATATATATACATATACACTACATATATATATATATATATATAGTGTATATGTATATATATATAGTGTATATACACTTATATATAGTGTTATACACTATATATATAGTGTATATATACACTATAGTGTATATATACACTATATATATATACATATACACTATATATACACACTATATATATATATATATACACTATATATATACACACTATATATATATACATATACACTATATATATACACTATATATATATACATATACACTACTATATATATATATATATATATATACACACTATTTATATATACATATACACTATATATATATACATATACACTACATATATATATATATATATATATATATATACACACTATATATATATATACATATACACTATATATATATACATATACACTATATATATACACTATATATATATATACATATACACTACATATATATATATATATATATATATATAGTGTATATGTATATATATATATAGTGTGTATATGTATATATATATAGTGTATATAATGTTCAATGGGGTACTGACAAAACATTAAACACCGACCTGGTGTTCTCAGTCCGACCAGAGTCACCTGACGGGACGGCTAAGTTAGCTGCAGGCTAAACCTGCTATCAGCAGCTACAGTTAGCGGTTAAAGTAAAAGTTCACTATTATCCTCCATAAGACTTTTATTGTGAAAGCACTCCCCTCAGTGTAACAGTACAAGAAGTTCAGTGATCATAATAGAGCTCTTATTGTGAAAGTTTCCTCTGTCCTCTCAGTAAGATGTGTGACCCGGCTGTGACGGCGTTCGAGCCCGAGGCGTTGGGAAATCTGGTCGAAGGTCTCGACTTCCACCGCTTTTATTTTGAAAACTGTGAGTTGACCTAAACTTCCTGCATGATTGACTGTCTCATTGGTTTGTAAGTTATTCTAACTGCTGTCCACACACACAGGAAGATGTTGAGTACTTCCTGTCTCTGTCTCTCCTCAGTGTGGTCTAAGAACAGTAAACCGGTCCACACCACCATCTTGAACCCGCACATCCACCTGGTCGGGGAGGAAGCCGCGTGCATCGCTTACATCAGAGTGACGCAGTACATCGACGCCAACGGGACGCCACGCACCGCCCAATCAGAGGAGACCAGGGTGTGGCACCGCCGCGACGGGAAGTGGCAGATCGTCCATTTCCACCGCTCAGGCTCCGCCTCCACACTCAACAAGTAAGAGTAGTTTTACACAGGTCAGAGGTCAGTTTTAAACTGGTCAGAGGTCAGTTTTAGAGACGGGAAAGAACATCTGTAAAATAAGATAGCATCAGCATCACTTCCTTAAGCTGGGGCACTGTACTGTGGATACAGGTCAGAGGTCAGTGCTGTAGATACAGGTCAGATTATAGTAAATTGACGTTTCTGAATCATAAATTTTAATATTTTTATTGTTTTTATTTGTTTATATTTTTCTGTCCATGCAGTTAACTTCCAGAGTGGGCGGGTCTTTGAAGGGGCCACCGTTGCCATGACAACTGATTGATTGACAGCAGGCCAGGCGTCTGACACCAACCATTCAGGATTTAGTTTGAGAAAAACAAGATGGAGGATGAGGAGGGCGGGGCCAGAAAGCAGTGAACTGCACAACCAATCAAACCAATCGACCAATCAGCTTCCTCTGAACTTCAGCCACGCCCCCTCGTGATTAACCAATCAGCTTCCTCTGGACTTCAGCCACGCCCCCTCGTGATTAACCAATCAGCTGCAGCACAGATTGTGAAAACCTCTTATCTTCTTCAGGATGATTCAAATACATTTAATTAATTAGTTATTAATTTGAGCCTCGGTTTAAAACAACATTTGTTAATTAAGTTAATTTATATGAAACATTTTCAGATTTTAATTCGATTCAATAATCAGATATTTAACAAATGATTGGAAACATTAATGATAGAATGTATTAATGAGATTTTAATAGTTTTTATGGTTAAAATAATGTTACAGTTGTTTTTAAAGAATCAGGGTGTCAATTAACAGATTAATTGATTGTAATCTATTAAGTGTTTTTAAAAGGAAATTAATCTGTGAAAATATAATCAACAATCTATTAATGAATTTATTAATATCCCATTCAACAATGTAAGTTATCATAACTTAATAACACCTTTTAATTAAACACTTGTTGATGTTTAGTAAACTAACTGAGTTTGTCTAATTATAAAAGTCTGATCACTTAAAAAGATCAATTAAGATTATTACCTTCATTATTTTAACGCCTTTAATTCATCTGAATTCACACAATAAATTTAATTTCATCTTCAATCAATGAGCAAACTCATCATCGCCGTTACGTGGTGAAAGTTACAGCCACATTTGGGATTAATCAATGAATAATTAATGAGATTAATTGAAGACGAAGTTCATAGAGGAAGTTTGTGGATCAGTGAGCAGATTTATTCTCCGTAATTTATTTAATTAATTAATTAAATATAAATATAATTAATATTTCCCTGGAGAATAACACCATCAAGTGACGATAACTAAAACAAATACAATTATTTACGGAGGCCAGGAGTCGCCATGGTTGCCAATTATTATTAGATTAGACTTTATAATATTTTACTAATTCAGTAATATTTTTATTATTTTTACGCCAACAAATAAAAAACATTATTTTAAAAAAACATTATAAAAAAACACCAAATCATACAAATAACTGCTGAATATGTGAAAGAATTTATATATTTATTGATTTAAATATATTTAATCTTAAACAGTTAAATACTCTTTACAGGCCGACTTTATTATAATAAATAAAGTTTGTGCTCATTGTGTGTTTTACATTTTCAATCAATTAATAAATGACTTTTGATTTTAAAGCTGCTGTAACAACAATATAAAACAGAGTAAATGTAATAATAATAATTCATATTTAATAATTAATATTTAATAAAAGCAGTTCAGGAAATGCTGAAAACACCACGATGAGTTTTGGATGTTGGACGCTCATCTCTCTGCTTCCATCGGGCTCGGAGAGCGCCACACGCTTCCACCGCTCTCCGTCCTGCGATCTTCCATGAACAGCCACACCTCCACCCGACCCCCGACCCTTGACCCCGACCCCACCGACCCTCCCGCCAGGTGTCCTAACGAGGAGGGCCTTAACGAGCTGTCTGCCTGCGCTGCACTCCAGCTTCATCAGAGGAAGAAACTTTAGTTCGCTACGGTTTTAGATTTGGAGGCAGCGGGTCTCCGGTGAGAGGAAGTGACAAAACAGGAAGAGGAAGAAAAGAAGGAAAATGATTCTCCAAAATAAAATGAAATCTAATTACAGTTAATTAAAGTTTCTAAATTCAACAAAACATTAAAAATAATTTAATTAATTCATATTTAATTAAAGGTACAGCTGCTGCTGGACGCTGTCTCTTTAAGAGAGTCTGGTTTCCATATTTCTGATTATTGATCTCTGGAGACAAACAATGAATCAATATCACCCATCATCTTTCGTCAACAGCCGAAAAACAACTCATCTGTACGGAGTCCCAGAAGTGACAAAAATAACTCATACGTTTACATGAATATATAAATTAGTGATCATTTTATTTTTAAAAAATGATTTTTTTGTTTTTTTTTGTTAAAAGTGGGAATAAAATTTAATTAAATAATTAATTACAAAAACAGTAACAATATGTTTTAGATTTAAGTTTTATTAACAATGACTATTAACTAAAAGTAAGTAAAGTTTATTTATATTTCACTTCTAAAAACATACAGATAAAGTTATTCACACACATAAAGTAAAAACAAGAAAAGACGAATAAATTAACAATGAGTAAAAATCAGCCTTTAAACTCAAATATGCATTAAAAATATAAAACAAAAGTCTCATTTATGTGATGGTGTTTAGTTTTGCCCTCATGTACGTTATGGAAAAACTTAAAAGGACTAAAGATTTATATTTGGGAACATTTCAGACATCAGAGAAGCTGTTTTTGTCTCTTCTGAGCCTCCGTACAACCCGTTGTGTTGGCGGTGTGAAACCTCATATCTCCGTTTACATCCGTTAATTAGGAGCCTTAATGAATTAATATCCTGACTCTAAGTTTGAGGGACAGCTCGTGTTTCTTCCTCTTCAGTGATGGCGTTTACTTTCTGTACAGACGATGTGATTTTCTGCATGCAGGACTTTTGTGTTTCGTGTTTTGGCGTTCGCGGCTGCCATGTTGTTTTCCAGACTTGACTCGGACTTGTTAGCTTTGTTAGCATTCCTCACTGGGAGCGATGGTGTCTGCTAGCCACGAGCTAACAAAACGCCGGCGGTGCCGTCTTTGATATTCTGCGACCTTTGACCCGTTGTGTTCGTCTCAGAAGCTTTCAGCAGCTTTTTACCGTCGGGAGAATGTAGAACTTTGTACAATCAGATTCTTACTATGATGATATTATTATTCTCGATATATCGCGTTTGTATATTTAAAGCTTTGTAATGTTTGACTCGGACATCCAGTGCTCGCGTTGTGTCTCTGTGGAGAACACATTGTGTATTCTTAGCTTTATTATTTATGTTAGTATAATATGGATTATAGCGTGTTCGCCACAACGCCGCTGCCTTTTATTTGACATCTCGGTGCCATTTGGCGTCCCGGCTCAGGAAATACTGAGGAGGCTGAACGTCGGGTCAAAGGTCAACCCCGACTGTTTCCAAATGACCTTTGACCTAAGAGACGAGGGCTGGGCTACACTGGTTGACGGAGCCTGGTGCTAAATTGACCGTTCTTAAGCCCCGCCCCTTTTGGAACCCCATGCTACATGCTAAGCTAACCTATGTTGAAAAGACAACCACATAAAGTCACACCTTAAGTGAGCTAATGTTAGCAAAACACTAGCTAGTTAGCTCGTGTTTTGCTAACATTAGCTCACTTGAGATGTAACCATCTTCAAAATGTGGTTGTCTTTTATACATAGGTTAGCTTAGCATGTAGCATATGTAAGTACAGGAAAGGAGGAAGTTGACCAAAGCTTACTCAACTGTGATTGGAGCACAGAGGGAAAGGGGGCGGGGCTTAATGGTCTGCTGTTTAGTGTTATACCGTCTTAAAGCTCCACCCACTGCCGAAACCTGACTGCACACAGGAAGTGATGTCATTAGTGGTATTTGTAAAGATTCTCTGAAGATCAGTAAAAACTGACTAAAGCTCAAAGTTTATTAATTTATGAGTTTAATAAAGGCTAATAATTCCTTTTAGATGTTTCAGTTAAATGTTTATAACACTGTTAACGGATTAAAATCAGTCCCTCCAGGAACACTGAGCCAAACGTCACCAAACTACTGGAGATTTCATTCTTACTGGAACAATTGCTTCAGTTCTTAATGAATTATACAAAAAAGTCACAACTTTATTTTCACTTTTTCACAATTTCATTGAAGAAATGTAAAAATGTAGAAAATGTAGAAGTGCGGCTGTGAAATGAGGAATTTTAGGCTTCAACAATCCCCAAAAAGCAGAGAAATCCTGGAGGGAAGTTAATAAAAGAATAAAACACATTATTAAAGTTCAGACAGGTGATTTATTATTTAGAAATTAAACTTTTCTGTGAATGTTGAAGTGTAGTTTATTGATAAAACCAGCCCACATTGAAGTGTTTGTTCCCTGAGGTCAGCCTCTCGGTGTAGACACTGTCGGGACTCCGTATGGCGCCTGCAGAGTGAATGGCTGTTTTCTACAGTAGAACTAGTCTGTGTTTTCTAAACCTCCACTTTGACCTTTTAAGACACTTGAAAGTTTTCTTTATTCGTGGTGGAAATGTTTGAGCACCGGGGACGCTCAGACGCTCCCTGCTAATATCTGAGATGTCATTTTTTAGAACCGTTTTGGTGTTTTATGCTTGAAACTGAAGAATTCATCTTAAAGCAGATTTCACTTGTTATGAACAGATGTTTTTCCTGTTTTTACCAGATGTTCAGTGGCTGCTCCGTATTTATCCTCATGAATCCAAAGCAGAAAACTTCCAACCTTCAAATAATTGTATGTGAACGACTTTTTGCTCTCGATATTCGCTCAGACAGACGATTTGAATGTTTGACCTCCTGGTTGGAGGTTCGTTCGCCTCTGGAAGCTTTTCTTATCCACCAGACAGGAAACAGCGGGAGGAGGTCGCTGCTCACTGTTAGCATTGTTAGCAATCCCTAGCCGTTCCTTTAGCCACAACTTAACAGGTTTTCAACAAGCTAACAGCATGCAGTAGTTATAGTACAGAATGCTAACGATGCTAACTGCTGGTGCGAAAATAAGTCACAATAAATTATCTTAATTAATTCAATCGTTGTTAAATCTGAATTTAGGACAAAAAACTGAAGCTTCTGTTGATTAAAACATAAAATCAAATTTATTAAATTAATTTATTAATTAATTACCAAATTAAGAAATGCATAGCAGCAGCATGCTAACGTTAGCTCGAAAGCCACCAACCAAACTGTTTTTAGTATTTAAGAAAAACAAGATTTTACATTTTATTTCTTCATTTAACTGTTTTTAAAATAGTTTAATATTATCAGAGTTTACCTTAAACATGCACAATATGTCTAATTATAGAATATAAAACCTCTTTATGTCGTTAGCTGACAGGAACTCGACCAAACTTTGACTTTAACTTGAAGAAAACATTTCAAATTGAATTAGTTTATTTAACTGTTATATATATATATATATATATATATATATATATATATTTGATCTTCCTACAGTTCTTTTATTAAACTTTGAACATTTGTCATTAAATTAAAGATTCTCCGGGTTTATTGATCATTTGGATTTTACTTATAAACGGAAATGAAAAAGAAATAATAAATAAATAAAAGTCCTCGCTGTTTCCTGTCTGCCTTCGTCTCGCTCTGCAAAATCAATAATCAATAATCAATAATCAGCTCCTTCATATCCACTCAGCTTTTTCTACTACGATGGATATTGTACTGTACGGTATTAACTCCGATGCTGCATGCTCAGTGTGTAACAGTGTGTGTGTAACAGTGTGTGTGTGCGAGAGAGTGTGTGTGTTTTTAATCTTTTTATTCTTCTTCTGCATCGTGTTCAAAGTGTTTCTGTAAATAAACTGAAGTGGTCAAACGCTGCCGTGTCACTTCCTGTTGGTGGACGCATACATGTGATGATGTCACTGATGATGATGATGATGATGATGATGACCCACCTGTCACTCAAAGTGTCTGCGCCCTTAATTCTGCATAACTTTAAGCTTTAATATAATTTAAAGGGCTGAGTTGTATAAAGATTCACAGTTTTAGGAGTTTAGATACAGGTCTGAGGTCAGTGCTTTAGATACAGGTCTGAGGTCAGTGCTTTAGAGGCAGGTCAGAGGTCAGTGCTTCAGATACAGGTCAGATGTTAGTACTTTATATACAGGTCAGAGGTCAGTGCTTTAGATACAGGTCAGAGGTCAGTGCTTTAGATACAGGTCAGAGGTCAGGGAAAAATCTAAATTTCATCGATACATAAATAAATAGATTAAAAGGTAATCAATAAATATATGTTTGTTTAAATTAAGTTTCATACTGTCTCACAAACAGAATCTATAAAATAAAAAAAGATGTATAATATTAATTAATAAAATAAAAATCTAAAAATGTGTTTTTGTTTATTGTATTTTTTCCTTTATGGATCATTTTTTAAATAAAACCTTATCTTAATAATTAATGTAGTTTGTAGTATATTTAATTAATATAGTTTGTAGTATATTTAATTAATATAGTATGTATATTTAATTAATATAGTTTGTATATTTAATTAAAATAGTTTGTAGTATATTTAATTAATATAGTTTGTATATTTAATTAATATAGTTTGCATATTTAATTAATATAGTTTGTACGGAAGCATATTGCATTCACTTGAAAATTCACTTCTGAGTAATTTTTTTTCTGAATTATCGAGATACTTTGAACTCCCGCGAGAACTTCCAACCTGCAGTGACTCCCATCGACCTATAGTGACTCCTGCCCGCACATACATGCCCCATCTTCAGCTATCTACCTCAGGTTCCTGCGTAGAGTCGACAAACTAATGATAATACCATCTATATGACTTAAAGACAGGACTATCTCCCAGAGTCTGAAACAAGATCAAAGTAAAATCTGATTGAACTAAACCAGCCGGTTATGTTTGTTTCTGTTAAATCGAGCTCTCAATAAAGGAATGAATGCGTCTATTGTTTCAAATGCTCTAAACTCAGAAAAAAGATTAGTCCGAAAAATAAACCAAAAAATACATTTTCAAGTGAATGCAATACGCTTCCGTAAGTTTGTATATTTAATTAATGTATATTTACTGTATAACATGACAGCAGAAAACATTGTTTTGATTATTTTGTGTTCTTTAAAATATATATAAATAATATATAAAATAAATATAAATATATGTACAATGTATATAAAATAAATATAAATAATATATAAAATAAATATAAATAATATATATAAAATAAATATAAACAATGTATATAAAATAAATATAAATAATGTATAAAATAAATATAAAGAATATATATAAAATATATATAAATAATATATAAAATAAATATAAACAATGTATATAAAATAAATATAAACAATATATATAAAATAAATATAAAGAATGTATATAAAATAAATATAAATAATGTATAAAATATATATAAATAATGTATAAAATAAATATAAATATATGTACAATATATATAAAATATATATAAATAATGTATAAAATAAATATAAATAATATGTACAATATATATAAAATAAATATAAATAATATATATAAAATAAATATAAAGAATATATATAAAATATATATAAATAATATATAAAATAAATATAAAGAATATATATAAAATATATATAAATAATGTATAAAATAAATATAAAGAATATATATAAAATAAATATAAAGAATATATATAAAATATATATAAATAATATATAAAATAAATATAAAGAATGTATATAAAATAAATATAAATAAAAAGTAAAGTTTCGGGTGAAGACCACGTGGCGGCAGCAGCAGCTCGTTCCCGCGCTGGAGCTCCTCAACTTTGCCCCCGGAAGCGGAAGTTCCTTCCTTTCTTGTTTGTGCTTCGCAGAGAGACACTCAGAGGTGAGTCGAGCTCTGACTTTAATCCTCTTTAATCTGATTTCCAGGTGAACATCCGACGATTTAAAGTGTCTGCAGTCGATCTGTCAACATGTTTGTTTGTGTTCGCGCTGAAATTGTTTTTCTTTGTTAAACTTTTTGTGTGTTTTTATAGTTTTATAGTTTCTGAGTGTCAGCAGCCATTTTATCTCCCGCCGGAGGCTCCGTTTACCTTCAATGAGCCGATTATTGGTTACTGATTGATGGATCATTGAGTTATATCGGTGTGTTTTACACTGTTTGTAGCAGCGGCTTCCAATCTGTGACTGTTGATGTAAGCTAACAGGCTAACGTTAGCATGTCCCCGCTAATCTGTGACATGCGCAGTAGATCCCTTTATATGGGCTGAAAGAGGTTAATATTAATGTTAATAAAGGGTTAATGAAGTGTTAATGAAGGGTTAATGAAGGGTTAATGTAAATGTTAATGTAAATGTTCAGAAGGAGATTAAAGTCTGAAGCTTTAGTCCTGGAACTGTTAGCATGTGTTAGCCTAGCTTCAGCTACCATGTGACCACCGGTAGTTCCATTATCAGACACATCGATCAATAATCAATAATCAGACTATAAAGGTGTTAGCAGCAGATAACAGAGAGCATGTTGGGAGGTTGAGTGTTTATTGATTGTTTAAATAATCCAGATGTTGTTTCTGCAGCTGGATTATTGTAAAGTTTAATCTGCTCAGACGACAACAGTAACCCCTGTGTGTTCCTCCTCTTCCTCCTCCTCCTCCTCCTCCTCAGACCATGGCTCCTCGTAAAGGGAAGGAGAAGAAGGAGGAGCAGGTGATCAGTTTGGGTCCTCAGGTGGCCGAAGGAGAGAACGTGTTTGGCGTCTGTCACATCTTCGCCTCCTTCAACGACACCTTCGTCCACGTCACCGACCTCTCCGGGAAGTAAGTCCGCCGCCGCTCTCCCCCCCGCTCTCTGATTGGTCCGTGTGTCTGCTCTCTGATTGGTCCGTGTGTTTCCAGGGAGACGATCTGCCGTGTGACCGGCGGGATGAAGGTGAAGGCGGACAGAGACGAGTCGTCTCCGTACGCCGCCATGTTGGCGGCTCAGGACGTCGCTCAGCGCTGCAAAGAGCTGGGAATCACAGCGCTGCACATCAAACTGAGAGCGACCGGAGGGAACAGGTAACACTCACCTGACGGGGGGGGACTGTAACACTCACCTGACGGGGGGGGACTGTAACGCTCACCTGACGGGGGGGGGGGGCACTGTAACGCTCACGGGGGGGGGGGGGGAACTGTAGAGTTCATGGGGCTGATGTCAGAAGATGTTTCTGTACTTTAACTTCCTGTCTGTTGTTCCAGGACAAAGACTCCTGGACCCGGAGCTCAGTCTGCTCTCAGAGCTCTGGCTCGCTCAGGGATGAAGATCGGACGCATCGGTGAGCACACACACACACACACACACACACACACACACAGTCTACACACACACAGTCTATACACACACACACACACAGTCTATACACACACGCACACACAGTCTATACACACACACACACACACACACAGTCTACACACACACAGTCTATACGCACACACACACACACACACAGTCTATACACAGGCCACACACACACACACTACACACATACACAGGCTACACACACACACACACACACAGTCTATACACAGGCACACACACACACACACACACCCACACAGTCTATACACACACACACAGCTATACACACACACATTACACACCACACAGTCTATACACACGCACACACACCCACACAGTCTATAACACACGCACACACACCCAACACACGCACTACACACAGCAACACACACACCCACACAGTCTATACACACGCACACACACACACACAGTCTATACACAGGCACACACACACACACACACACACAGTCTATACACAGCAACACACACACACAGAGTCACCAGCACAGACACACACACACACACACACACACAGTCTATACACAGGCACACACACACACACAGTCTATACACAGGCACACACACACACACACACACAGTCTATACACAGGCACACACACACAGAGGCAGGCACACACACACACACACACACACTGATAATCAGTCGTCTATACGTCTGATTTCTACGACAGTCATTGAGCCTCACTGAGAGGAAAAATCAATAAAGACAGAATAAAGTGGTAATAAAACCAGAAAGTGTTCTTAATGAGAAAGCGTCGATAGAGCAGCTCGACCAATCAGCTGCTCAGATTAAATATTTCATTATTTATTGAACTGATATAAAGTTAAACTTTAAAGATCCCACTAACTCGTAATGTTACCACTTTATTCTCATAAAGTCACATAAAACAAAATATTCTCGTCATTTCCAAAGAGTCTCTAAAACTGTTTTCTGTGGAGACAAAGTGAAAGTTTAGTTTTAATATATAAACTGAAGTTCCTGCTGATTAAATAAGTGATTAATGGATTACTTATTGATTACGTCTGCAGGAGTTTAAACTGTGTGTGTGTGTGTCGCGCTCAGTGTCAGATTATTGATTAACAGATCAGAAATCTGCTGATTTAAACTGAATACGTTTTAGAACTCAGATGAATTATAATCTAACATCATGGTCGGTGGGCGGGGCCTCTGCCCTGGGGTCGGTGGGCGGGGCCTCTGCCCTGGGGTCGGTGGGCGGGGCCTCTGCCCTGGGGTCGGTGGGCGGGGCTGACGTTAACGTGTTTGACCTGTTTCTTCTTCTTGTGTTTGTTCAGAGGACGTCACTCCGATCCCGTCGGACTCGACCCGGAGGAAGGGCGGACGCCGCGGTCGCCGTCTGTAACTACAGCGAGATTTTCTGACAATAAAACGATTAAAGTGTCAGTCGGTGTGTACGAGTCTCTGTTCACTGATAACAATCAATAATGGTATTGGTAATATCTGATCAGCCGTATTGATCAGTGTGTGATATAAAGTGAGGGTAATTAAAACATACTGATCTTAAATTGAGTTTGTCGAGTTTAAATAAAAGTAATCTATTACATGTGACTGGTTATCAGTGAGATTATATATTGATTAACCCTTGGGTCGTCCTGTCGGGTCAATGAAGACCTGATGATAGTAGACCAACACATTGATTTATAATCTTTAATCAGTATTGATCAGTTTATCAAACAGGTGAAATAAGTAATAAAAGCTGAATATTCTAATCAAATTGATTATTGATTGGTATAAACAGTAAAGTTCTGGTGAAACATTGTTATAAAATAACTAATAATCAATAATCAATCCCCTGTGGTCCAAATAACTAACCAAACCTT